TTAGAGAGGGCGAAGATCATCTTGCATAAGTTGAAAATGATCCTAAAATAATAATAATTATATATATATATATATTTGAGCTTTATTTCAGTGTCCTTTGTGTGCTTCTGATCCTTAGCTATGATTAATTGACGATGAACATGTCATTTTCATTTATGATCGATTTCATCATGATATTTCTGTTAAGCTTAGATACATTCTTACTACTCAAAGTAGAGTCCAATAGTGTTATAAAAACCTTGGAGAATTCCAGTAAGATATCGTTAATCATTTCTAAGATGCAACAGTTCAGAGCTTAATCTAACAATTGGACAATTTTGCTGTTACACCCTTTTTATACTCATACCATATTGTTGAAGCTTAAATAAGCATGGAATAATACAACACAAAATGTACGTTAACAAAATGTATTGAAACAAAGAATAGGTACACAATATTTACAGTTAGTTTGGTATATTCTTGGGAAGACTGTTCCTGCATAATGGGTTGACTAAATCGCAGTCGGGCAGAGTCTCTGGATTCAATTTCTTAATCTCTACTATCTTCCCCGTCTTCCGGTACCACCCATATTTATATGGTCGGTAGTCCGCTTATGTAAATTAGGTGTATCATACACAACACATATGATAAAGCATATTCTTATAAAATCTCAAATAATTTCAGAACAACCACAAAATATGAATTTAAAGTATATTCTTTCTTAACTTTTCCAATCATTATTATTTTTATTATTATTATTATTTGTGTATGTTATGTTTCCTGTTTTGTATCCTGTAGAGTCCAAACTATGGTCCTTAGACGCTATAGGAGAATTGTCATTTAATGGATAGCACTTTTCTTGGTATATGGGATGTTCCTAGGGGAGTGATCTGGGCAACTTGTATATTGATGTTATCTGGGACACTGTTAGTAAAATTGTCTATTCCTTTTTCTCACGAGGCCCAGTGCTCCGATTACTATTGGTACAGTCTTGGTCTTCATTCCCCACATCTTGTTAATCTTGATCGCCAGGTCCTTGTATTTGGACAATTTCTCAATCATTTTCATTCAGATGGTATTGCTATGTCAATAAGCATACACTTCCTGAATTTCTTATCTTTTATTCTAATATAAGTTCTGCTGGCTTTTGTTTCCTTGTAAGTTTGACTTGGCATGTCCCAGAGGATAGTTACATTGTAATTTTAGGTAACTGTGTCTGGTTGGTGTTCATACCATCTCTCAGTGGTTTTGATTTTATGCTTCTTGCATATCTTCCAGTACACATATGTCGCTACCTTGTTATGTTGGTGGGTAATAATAATCATTATTATCATTATTATTACTACTATTATTACTTTCCTATTAATAATCTAATGGTTTGTGTAGGGGTGGGGCCAATTTATAAAGCAAACTGGATCACACTCTTAAAATTTAAAAAATTTAATTTTTTTTATATTCATGATCTGGAGACGAAAAGAAAATTTGAAAAAAATGATTATTTCTTGAAGAGATGCATTTCTGTGAAAATATCAAAAAGGGATGCAAGTAAAAAAAACAAAAAAAAAAAAACAAAATCATTTTATTTTAATGCAATTTTTTGTTGGGTATTTTTTGTGAGTAGAGACAAGGACAAAAAAATAATAAAAAAAAATTATCTCACACAGAAAGAAAAAAATGAAAATTTTTGTTGGTTGGATATTTTTCATGGGAAAAAAATGAAATAAATTTTTTTTTTTTAAATTTATGTCTACTTTTGTTTTGGTTAGTTTTCAATGTGTGTCATATTGTAAAAACTATATTTAAAATCTTTGTCACTTTAATATACTTTTCTAATTCAAAAATGTATAAAACATTTCACTGTTTTTGATGAGCAAAACAGCAAATAATACAACCTCTGTCTCATAATAATTGTCACATTTGCATATGCATTTCTTACGCAAAATATCTCAACTATTTTAGGACAGAGATAGCGATATTTATTTATTACTATGTCTGTCCCATAATAATTGATACATTTTATACACATTTCATACACTAAATGTCTCAACTATTCTGGGTCAGATATATTAATTTATTTTTGTGGTACATTAACTTCTATTTATTGGTCATCAACTATCAATTGAATTTTTAAACCAGATTATAACTTCATCTGTTACAAGCCCTTAATAGAGGGGTACCTAGTGAGCAACAATCTTGCAAAAACAAGCAAATCTGTCTGTGAGACAAGCTTGCCTAACCTTCATGCTCTGGTAGACATTGAAAAAAATCTTTTTTTTTTTATTCGGCTACAGTAATAGCACAGCCAGTAAGGATTGAACAATGTCCGCTAGTATGAAACATGCTTGCTGATCACTGTCCCATGGTGAGACATCTAATTTCAAATTTCTGCTTAGGCTAAATCTTGAAACAGTTAGGCTAACTTTAGTTTGGTGCCTGTTGCAAAACTAAGAACCATCTGGAGAAAGAAGAATGTCTGCCTGAAATTAAAAATCAGTCTATTGCATGCATTGCCTTTCTTGATCTTTGTATGCCTGTGAATCTTGGACATTAACAGCAGAATTACAGCAAAGAATCCAAGCATTAGAAAAGTGATGCTGCAAAAACCCCCTTGGCATTATCATAGATAATGCAGCAAGGGATGCCATCAGACAAGAAACAGGCCAATTGGAAGACCTCATAACCAGTGTCAAGAAGAGGAAGTTGAAATGGTATGGCCACATCACAAGAGCCAACAATCTTTCCACAGCTGTCTTACAAGGTGCCACCTTAGAGGCAAAAGAAGGAGAGGCAGATAGAGGGAAAGAAAAATGGGTTGATAAAGTTACTGTGTAGACTGGAAGATCATTTGCAGAGCCCTGGACATTGGCACATGACCAAGAGGGAGCTGGTCAGGTGCTACAACCACACCTGCTCAGGAGACTGATGGTGATTAACTTTGTCTACCATAACGATAAAACATGGGTCATCTAATAAGAATTAAATTATTCATTGGTCTTACTTCTTTTCCTGTATACAGCAACCTCTCAACTTGAAAAAAAATTATATTCAGACTATTGTCCTCATCTTTTTTGTTTTAATTACAATGTTTCAGCTGTTGTACTCTCTAGCCTAGTGGGTAAAAACATTGGTTTGTGAATTTGGTGACATGGTGATTGTGAGTTCAATCCCTAGGTCTGGCAGTTTATACTTGCACTCAGTAGAAACTGTTGAGCAATAAGTGAACAGTGTTAAATAAAATAAGAATGAGATGATATCACTATTTACATTATTCAGACTATTGTCCTCATCTTTGTTGCCATATTTATTACAACGTTTCGGCCTTCTTCAGGTGGTTGGAATGTCAAACTGAACCCTTTATTTCTCTCACTGGAGTAGACTGTTCTAGTTCCACGTGCCATGTTTAATGGATGTCAGTTATCAGTTAATTCCTGCTAATTCCCCTCTCCAAGTTCTCCACTGCCTTAACTAGGTATTGAACTCACACTCTTTGGGTCCTGTCACTGGATCTAACCAACACCTTTATTCACTGTGCCATGTGTCCATAATACCTTATCTCAAAAATATAGACAGATATGAGACGATATCGTTAGACATGGGCAGTAGAATGAGAATAGTCTACCCCAGTAGATTAAATAAAAGCTTCAGTTCAGAATTCCCTGTAGGTTACCCAGATCAATATACACCTGATGAAGGCCAGAGGGCATAACGGATGAAACTTTATGATAGAAACAACAAAGATGAGGATAGTAGTTTGAAAATTCAGATAAAAATTAAAAATAACAAATTGTGAACAGAAACCAAGCTGGAAAAATAGAAACTGTAAATATGGAGACTCATTAAGGCTAATAATTTTACAAATTTCTACACCAATCATTATACACTAATTCAAAGATGTTAAAACAATTACTTGGTGCATCATTTTACTTACAATTATTGCCATGTGATACAAGCAATAGACATTGTATTATTTAGCTCTTTAGCATTCAACCCGTCCTGTAAATATCGGCTCTCAGTGTTCAACCTGCTCAAATATCCTCTCAAATATTTTTCTCTTAGTTGTTTAAGTCATGTTGACATCAGTAGTGGATTAAGATTAATTAAATTTAAGTACAGTTGCTTATAAAAAAAAAAATCGATGTATTTCCAAACAATCAAGTACATTATTAAACTATACCTGCTAAATCCTGCAGGAGTGGTAGCACCTGTTAGGGTCCTAGCTATAGGCAAATAGTGAACACCCAAACAAAAACAACACTATGAAAGTATAAAAACACATTATTATAGTAAAATTAGCAACAATACATTTTATCTGTAGTTGACTGCATATAATTGCGTTCATAATATTTTCAACTGAAGCCATAAAATTGTTTTGAAAATATTTAGATTTCAGCATAAAATAGCCGATAGAGGTGTTGATATGCCGCTAAACAAAATCAACTAACAACTAAATTCTGTATGAACTCTACATCCAAATTTTCAAAAGTAATATATCAAATAATGACATTTTAGTGCCATTGCATGCTGAAAATCAGTTCTCTAATGTACCTGTTAGTGAAACGATTGATATTATAATTAACAATTTTTATAAACATCTGTCACTTTTCACCACTTCTGCTAAGAAGACATCAGCTCTCAAGAAACAACTTTCAGATTCTACCACACAAAATGCTTTTGATGACCATTTGAGAAATGTAGAAAAAAAACTGAATTCAAACCTGAGAAGGGCTGTTTGCAACTTCGTTTTTTTTTTTATTAATACGTTTTCTATGGCATATTAACTTTTTGTAGGTTATTTAAAGCCAGAAAATATTTTTAGATGGTAAGAATTTTTTTTTAGATAATAGTGGTTTAGTGATGCAAGTCTTACTAATAGTCTTACTAGCTGGGGGGAGAAGTAGATTCCTACCTTTCCCAAGAGTATTTATAAATAAGTGAATATAACGAACCCTATACGAATTTGTAGTCTGCTCTCTGATTAGCAATTTCAAGCCATTATCCATTACACCACCTGCTCATCCAAGCTTACAGCACCTGGTATTCCCAAACTGTCACCAATCTAGGTACTGACCAGGCTCAATATTGCTTAACTCTAATGATCATACAGGAACTGGTGTTTCAATGTAATGTAGGTGTAAACTGCAAACTGTGTACTATTTTTTCTGTTATCTGTTCCCTACAAAAAAAGTGTGGCTGGTTTTACACAAGCCTTCACTACTATAATCAAATCATAAGTACAGATTGTCTGGCAGTTCACTTCTAAAAAAAAAAAAAAAAAATAATAAGTATCAGGTCATCCCATAAGTTCTGTCCGAATTTTGAATAAAGAAAACAAGTGACCAAATGTTACATTTAATTACAGATTCAATCAACAATGTATTTTCCCTGATTATCTATGACTTCCTTCCATCTATTAACAAGCTTATTAATTCCATTACTGTAAAATTCTTTTGGCTTTGATTTGAAGAACTCACAAATGTCAGTTTTAACCTCTTCCTGTCTTACAAAAGCTGTTTCTTCCAAATGATTCTGTAAGCTACGAAACAAATGGTAGTCTGAAGGAGCAAGATCGAGAGAATAAGGTGAATGAGGAATTTTCTCCCAACCAACTTCTTTGATCTTTTGTGATGTGATTCTTGCTGTGTGTGGTTGTGCATTGTCCTGATGAAACATCACCTCTTTTCGATTCACTAGAGCAGGTCTTTTTTTTCCTCAAAGCTTGGTTCAAACGCTCTAATTGCTGACAGTATATTTGAGCATTAATTGTTGCATTAGGTGGCAAGAATTCAAAGTGGATTATTCCTTGGCGATCCACCAGATTGAAAGAACCTTTTGCCCATGAAGTTCCTTCGGCTGTGGCTGGGGTCCTTCCCTTTGTTTTCACTGTCAAGTACGCTAACATTTCGATAAAAGATCCATTTTTCGTCACAAATCTGTTCAAAAAAGGTGAAAAGAGCAGATGTCAACTCGGGATTTGAAGTTGTTTTCAGACAATTCATGAGGCACCCATTTTCCAAGTTGTTGAAGATGATGATGAACAGTTGTATGGTTTGAACTGAGAACCACTGCCAATTCCTCAACTGATAAAGCAGGAATTTCTTCAAGGGCTGCTTCAAGAAGCTTTTCATCAAACTCAAATGGACGTCCGTTCGATCTTCATCTTCAAGGGTGAAATCTCCACCTCTGAATTTTGCAAACCATCTTCTGCAAGTTCTTTCATTCACACATTCCTCTCCATAAACTGAGTGAATGTTTCTAGCCGCTTTGGCTGCTGAGTTTCCTTTCTTGAACTCATAAAGCATTATGTGCTTCAAATGATTCTTGGTACTTCCATGTTAGCAGGGTTTTAATCAAACAAAATTTAATTTTATTGTTCTCTGAAATAAAATTTGATCAGTTTAAATGCATCTAAACATAAAAATAATGTTCAGCTCCATTAGACATTATGAAATACTCTTTAAATTTCGTTCATTTTAACAAAAAGTTAAAATTCGGACAGAACTTATGGGATGACCTGATAAAAACTGAACTGTTAGTCCTTCGTACATCAAAAAGAGAATTCATTTTATAAAAATAATAATTCAAATTTGCATTAGGATAGTGAAAGATGCCTTTCAAAACTAAGCAAAATAGTAAGAAACAGAAAAATATTTTTTATAAACAAAGAAAAGAGTACTGAACTGTTATGTAATATCAGTCCTCCTATACAACAGATAATGCTGGACAGTCTCCTCACAGATGAAGAGACTTGAAGCAACAGAAATGTGGTTCTACAGTAGGATACTGAGAATACCATGGACTGAATATGTGAGCATCGACAAAGTCTAGAGACAATGCCAACAAAAAGGAAACTTCTAGGGTATATATGGGGGCGGAGTGCTTGACTTATGTCAGAGATCTGTTCCTATGGTGCAACATAACCTGATTTTCGACATAGGTCGGAACTCACCTACATAAGCACCCACAAGTCTGCTTTATGCTTGGGAACCATAATGAATTGCAAAAAGTTCCCCCAAAAATGACACAAACGAGAGATAGTTAATGTAGCACAACCCAATATGGCGTATAGCCGGTGAAGAAACAATGCTGTCTTCCACATATAGTGCCACATGACAACATATTATATTATAGGAGCTGGAACTGAAAGCACAAAATGCCGTATGTCGGGTCCAACATAACCTGAGGGCCTTCTGTAATGAGGAAAGTTTTCCTTCTCTTAGATGGACTGCCATCCTGGGATGACAAGCTCCATTTACCTGAAGCAACTGGTTTTCAGCTGCCAGTCGTCTGTCATTGCCTCTTCTTTGACTTGAAGCTGGACATTTGTGGAGGTGCTATTTGGGATGCATGCCATAAGAATATTTTATTGATAGCAGAACCTTGTCTCCATTATCATCTCCTGGCTATGAATACATAACTTCAAATTGCATACATTACATGTTTTAGAAGCTCTAAAAAATTTAACTTTATTAAAAAAAAAACAGTGTATCAAAAGGATGTTTTTTTTTTCCTTGACATTGCTATTATGTTGTACTAACTTTACTTCTTGAGTAATGTTTATTTACGATCGGTTTAGTTTGTTTTATGGCATATGAATCTCAATGGCTTATTTAATGCTAACAAGATTTTTATTGCTGGTAATATTTTTTTCCTTCAAAAATCTATTGCTGGTAATATTTTTCCAAAAAATATATAGCTGGTAATATTTTTTTTTCTAAACATGTATTGCTGGTAATATTATTATTTATTTTATTTTTATTTTTTTAAGTATTGCTGGTAATAATTTTTTCCTTCAAAACTTTATTGCTAGTAATAGGTTTTTACAAAGTATTTCTGGTATTAAAACCTATTTTTACACTTTCATAATGCTTTTTACCTCAGTTTTGGGGTTAACTATTTGTCCATAGCTGGGACCCTAACAGGTGCTACCACTCTGGGTCAGGGTAGACCTGGTAACACCAACAATTAAGAAGTGGTTCCATGCTCCTCAAAACCTGATCAGAGGCCTTGCTGTTGGATGTAGTTTGTCTTGCCCAGGACACAGATTTAGTTTGTCATCATACCCAGGACATGTTTATTTATGAGATTATAAATATATGTCAATCAAGTACAATGAAATTATTTATTATTTACCATTTTATAAAGAAATAAATGTGAAAAGAAATCTTTTTCTTCAAAAATTTTTTTTAAATTATCAAAATATGTAAACCGTCAACAATGCAATATTTATTATTTACCATTTTATAAATAACTATGAAAACAAGATTTTTATTCATAAATTTAAAAAAAAAATATATCAATGAATTCCTGCATGAAAGAAATACCTACAAATGCATTGTTTCATGTTTGACAGACATTTTTAATTAATTTATGAATAAAAAAATGTATTTTCATATTTATTTCTTTACAAAATGGTAAATAATAAATATTTCATTATAGTTGGTACACATTTTTATAATGTTGTAAATAAAAAAATTAATCTTTTAAATAAACAATAATAAATAATGTTTAATATTTTTGTTGCATATTCTCAAGAACAAAAAAAATGTATAAATTCATTTTCATCATATATCTGGGTTTTATTAAAATTGTTTTTTAAATAACAAACATTTCCATGGGAGTAAAGATAGTTGAAAATATATGAAACTAGCTTAAAAGCCTATTGGGCGGCATTTGTTAGTTCCTGCAGAGGGCTCTTGATTGAGCTTTCATCACAATAGGTAGGGAAGAATAGATGTGATAGGCAGCATGAAAGAACTCAAAATTGATTGCTGCATTTAAGTATTGCATTAATATTTAATCTTACCTTTTAAAAGTTCAATGATAATTCTTCTGCTGCCACTTAATTTAACGACAGTTTGTTGTATGTAGGTCCTTACTTTCTGTACAAACAATTATTTTTATTTCATGGGTGACTTTTGCTGGATTTTGCAATTAATTTCATTTATTCTCAAATTTATTTACAAGTTATAAAAATTATTGTACAAAAAAATTTGTTGCAAAAAATCCCATAAAAAATTGTCAAAAACAATCACAGTGATGAAATTTTGGATTCCCAAGTAATCCCAAATTTCAGGATTGTGATTCCAGATTTGGCCCAGAAGGATTTTTAATTTGCTCATGGAGTTGGCCTGATTCCAAAATGGTATGATATGTTGGGCTATGGCCTCTAGGAGTAAAGTTGAAAGCATGGACAATTTTATTTTGAAACCCAGTAATTTGAGAACAGTAATTTTTTTCACTTGAACATGAGCTATTGAGAGTTGTATCCCTTTAATTGTTTTTATCAGCAGAAGCCAAGATGGCAAAATCCAAAAACAATCACAGTAATGAAACTTGGAAATCCAAAATTTCAGGATTGCAAGTCCAGAATCGACCCGCAATGTTTTTAATTTACTCATGGGGTTGGACTGATTCCAAAATGGTATAATATGTTGGGCTGTGACCTCTCAGAGTAAAGATGAAAAAGTGTGACACAGTGATATTTACATTTATTATATAGAATTTTATGCAATATTATTTCTTATGACTATAAACATTATTTTTAGTGGCTACATGTGTTTGTATGCAATTTAAACTGGTTGTTATTAATTTCACTATTTAATAAAAAAAAAAATTGCAGTGATAGCGGCTCTAGATTGTGTGCCCACTAAAAATAATGTTATATAAGAAATATATAATGTTTGTGTGTGTGTGGATGCATTTCAATTTATATGCACAACAAATTCACCTACGTTACTTTATGTTTTGGTAGCTAATTGTTTCAGGCTGAAAACTTGTAAAAGTTTGTGGAATCTAATTTACAGATTGTTGTAAAGCTTATGAAAAGAAATCCGTTTGACATTTTTGGGATATAATTGTACATAGTTATATAAAGAGTGTTCCAATAACTTGGACTGATTTTAAATATGAATTAAGTTTAAGCGTCTAATAATTTTTTTTTTCTTTCAGATTTAAGAACTTAAGTCTTTGGCAATTTCAACCATGGAAAGATAAACAATCAAACATGTTAAAGTTATCGAAGCCTCTTACGAAAATGGATGTTCAGACAGAAATGCAACCAACCGAGAGTTCATTTAGAAACAATATATCATTGTTGTGGAGAGGTTCAATTCCTGCATGC